ACAGTTACGACCACCGATAACTTTGCATTCACGTTATGTATACGCATCTCAAAAAAAGAAGAAGAAGAAGAAAAAAAAAACCCTGCATTCAAGAGCAGTTGAGTTATCACTTAGAGCTTAGAGCATGGAGCTTAGACTCATAATATGCTGCTTTCTCTGTGTCGTCGCAAGGGAGTTGGAGTTTTGGCCCACAGTATCTATGATTGGCACAAGCAGCCCGTCAAGGTTGGGTTCGAGTTCCGGCCCAACCACAAACTTGAAATGGGGTGATAGGTCAGGTTGATTGAGGGGGGGGTGGGGTGGGGGGGGGGGGGAAGGAAGGGGTATTGAGTTGTTTCTTGTTCCAGGGTTCGCCTGAAATCCCCCCTTCATTTCAGGGAAGGGCCAAAAGTTTCTCCTTAACAAGTCAGGAATCAGCCAGAAATCAGCCCTGAAAAGGTTCAGGGCTAGAGATTTTGCAACCCATCAATTTCAGGGTTCATGGAGAACCTTGCCATGGAATTCAAGGGCCAGTAGGGAAAATTCCCTGATAGCGACAGCCCCTGATTCCAGATTCCGTATCAAGGGCTTGTCACCTCGCTGTTCGAACAACACTCTTGTTCGAACAAGTGAAATCTTACTTGTTTCGCCACAACTCGCATGGGCTTCTACGACGTCGCATGACGGAATTGTCGCCCATCCGAACAACGCTGTCACATCGGGCGGGTAGCGATTCACGCTGCACGTGTGAACAGAGTTGTTCGAACGCCAAGACCTTGGTGACAGAAATTCCGCAGGGACGGCACATTTGATTGGTCAGCCATGCGTCGCGTCGCCCACGAATGTGTTTTTGGCTTGCGAGTGTCGCATTGAACGCGAAAGCGTTTTGGCTTGTTCGTAGAGGCTGGCGAACCGTCAAACGGTGGATTCGACGCCTCACTCCGTCGCCCGATTTTGTGCGACGTCGCATATTCGAACAAGGCGCTTGTTCGAACAAGGGGGGCGTCACCTCGAGAACAAGCTGTCACATTTGTTATTCTGTTCGAATTTGTTTCCGGAACTACATGGGACAGTGTTTGTACAGTGGAAACGATACGCCTGCTCGAATTTGGGGATTCGAGCCCGAGGTGACACGCTCTGAGTTTTCTCTCCCACACTGCATTGGTATCGTTCTGTGGGCGCATTGGGGGTGCTTGGCCTCCCTGACGAATATTCTAGGAACGCGCGTGACAAGGCTTAAAGCCCACGTCGAGCCTCCCAACTCGTTATTGTGTACCGAACCTGGTAGTTTTTCTTGTGCGCTCATGGGTAACAGAACGCATCATAACTAGTCCGCTCATACCTTACTTCGAAACTTCAATTACGGGCAAACGGGAGGCACCGCCCGTGCGAACCCTATCCGCCCATCCGAGGTTGAATAAGGGGACGCACAAGCAAAAACGGGCAGATCTGAACGCCCGTTTTTGGGACATTTAGCGATGAATTTACTCACCACAAAAATATATCAAAGGCCGAAGGTTTGTGAATGGTTGGGATGAAACGTTTTGAGCATCCTGGGCAGCCTGGGCATGGTCAACGAAAAAAAAGCAGAACTGATTGCAAACCTGCTTTGTCGTTAGCAGCATTTTCGCCGATACCGCGGGAGTGTTGACCCTTCGAGGAACATGCTTCCCGCAGGGCTTGTGCGGAGGGCTCTGTTTGCTTGTGCGGCAAGAGAACAATGCCATTGTGACGTAGTCTTGTGAGTGTGATAACCTTCGCCGAAACTCTCTGATCTGGCTAGATTTGCGGCGACTGTTCATATCCACCGAACTGAAGGTTTCAGTTGAAACCCACGTGCTTCGAACCACGCGTCATGTTCACCGCCTTTTTCTGAGGGTTTAGAAACTGTCTAAGGTGCTTTCTGTTTGGCATGTACGATCAGCTAGCTATAGAGGTAGTATACGATCACTGATCTACACGATGAAGTTCTCATTACGAATCGACGGTTCGAGCGCGCGTGCTAGCACAATCTCCCACCAAAGCTATCCCCTCCGCTTGTTCCTACGAATGCTGCTGATAAGGGGAGCAGATCACGTGGCCCGTGGTCATGTGTCTCGGCTGGCATGTGTCTCCGTATCACCTCAATACTATTTTTTTCGCGACTTTTTTGGCCCTTGCCTTTTCCGGGTAGCTGAAATGAGCATGTGACATCACGAGGTTACGTGGCCTCACCTTTTTATGAGCTCCCAACGGACGGCGCATCACGGACAAAATCTGCCAGCATAAAATATAATCAGATGGCGTTAACGAAAGGTATAGCTTATCGAATAGTGGCGGGTCGGTCTTCAGCAGTGGCGGGTCGGTCTTCAGCTCATACGTCGGCTGAAATGGGTGTTGAAAAACGACTTACTACCCCAGTCGTTCTTCCATTAGCATTCCTACCGAGCGCCCACTATTCACCAGCGCCGCGCTTCCTCCCACCCACTCCCACTGTAGTGTCAGTTCCCCCCCCAGCCCTGGCGTCACGACTTCGGATTGCCCTAAACTCTTCATTGTACGCTGAGAGTCCCAGTACGCGGCTTCCCCAAAGTTCCGAGCTCTAAGGTCGGGCTTATTGAGATTATCATAATGACATGATGGCGCCGCGCAGTCCCTGGGCGAAGGAGTTGGTGAGAGAGCACGCCGCAGTGTCAAGAGTCTCAAGGATGAAACGGGGTCGCGGTGACAAGCATGGTGACTCCCACAGTGATGGTGCTGCCTGCAGCAACGCTCGACGTCGGCGTAGGATTTTCAGGGCCTGTGCTTCAACTCCTGCAGCAGCAGCAGAACCCATGGCGACCATGCCTGCAGCATCCAGCTACAAGGCAGCAAGAAACGCTGTTGAAGTGGCGGACACAGCAATCACGCAGCGGCAAGGAGGTCCTATGTTGCTTGAAGAACGCAGCATGAGACTAAGTTGGGCCGACTACGTCCGGAGCAAGGAGAGCCAGGGAATAACTGTCCTCTCTGACAAGCATCCTCCATCCGATGCTGCACCAGACTGCTCAGCAGAAGCTAGCAGTGACTACAGGGCCGTGTGGGTGGAGCAATGTGAATGCAAGCCATTGGAGGAACGGGCGAGCTTTGAGAAGCCACCTTGTACCCGGGTCGTCATCCCTGACCTCAACTTACCTGCATGTGAGGGTCCTGGCTTGGCAGCACGCTGCCAGCGCGTCTAAATCAGGCACGGAGTACATTCTTCAGATGCCTCGCCTGCCCACGGTATCCCTGGAGTAAAAAGAGCTGAATCTACACACGGCTGTGTGAGTTGAGCTTGAATAGCTCTGGGTGGAAGCAGCAGCAGCAGCAGCAGGAAGAGCAGCAGCAACCGCAGCAAAAGCATGTGGAATGTGATGGCTGTAAATGCAAAGATTGTGCGGACTTCGAAAGAAGGCGAATGCTGATACGAGAAATAAATATGTACAGGGAGAGGATTATCATTAGGCAGATTTAGCCGAGCTTGCATACGCAACAAGGCTTGACTTTTGGGCTTGCTTCTAGTATTTTTAGGTGCTGCTTGTAGGGAAGCGACATCTGTGGGAACTTGATTAGTGTACAGTTTGACGTACACCCGAACGCGAGTTGACGCGCGTACGGTTTCGGTTGCCACGTGGGCGTTGGGTTGTAACTCGTGGTGTCCGCAACATATTGGTAATATTTCGGGTGAGTGGAAGCAACGCAACGGTTGCAATGCGGTCACTGGAAGGTGTCCGGGATGTTGCGGAATTGTATGCGGTGAGTATCCCTAAACCCTAAACCCTAAACCCTGTTGCGGAATTGCAACTTTTACGCAACTTTAGAGTGACTCGCACTTCAGCAATCTTAAAAGTTACCTTTTTCAATATTTCTGCAACATGGCAGCAAGTCCTTGCTGTTTGACCCTTGCTTTGTAGCTTCTAATGAAGCTAGATTGTACAAACTCAGGATGTGTGCTGACAAGCGATGAATCCAATAGAGAAGTCGCAAATTTCACCCTAGTCTACGTCTTCTCACCACGACCATGTACGCGCAGTGCAGAATCGATTAGCTTCGCTGCCCTAGTTAGCTCGCATCCCCTTATCTCTTATGTCGCTTACGTCCATCTTGAGAGACGTTGAAATGTAAGGCAAGCCGCGATGCAGTCCTGCGTCCGGCGAGTGCCGCGAGGGTCGGGTTTGTCGTCCCATTGCCTTCATGTACCGCCAGTGAAAGAACCCGAAATCCGTCGCGCAACCCCAGCGAACCAGCTTAAGATTCGTGCTACCGCGCCGCGAACCTTCACACTGCGCCGCTCATGCCGGCAAGCGCTTCCGGGTCCTATCAACGAGCTGGACCGTTTTAGCAACGCCTTACACTCACCTTTCGTTGCACGGATTAAGAGCCAGCACAGTCAGCGCGCTTCCCGTTCCATCCACGCGTCAGCAGCAGCACAAGCGAACGGAACGCAAGAAAGCGCTCCAATCTCACCCGTGACTGAGCTCACCGCACCCGACGCACACGCTCAAACCCCGCCAGCCGTTTCCGCGTGGCCCGCATTCTCCGCCGCGTTTTCCGGCGAGTGGGCGGGGTACTCCGTCGACTTCTCGCGCTTCGGCGAACCCTTGGAGTTGCCGCAATCCGTCGTTCCCGTAGCGTTCCGCGACTGGGGGCTGGTCCAATACGCGTGGCAGTCCCAGACGTCCGGCGTAACTCGCGGGGAGTCCCTTGGCCGTGGCGTGACGGCAAGTGTGGAGGAGAACCTTGGGAATGCCGAGATTCACTCCTCATTCGTGAGGTACGCGCCTGCTGCGGGGTGTGAGGCGGCGTCTCCGCCTAAATACAGCGTGGAACGGACGGCTCTGAGGCTAGTGACTGGTGCAGCTGGTGACGGCTCCGCTGGTCCTGATAATGGTTATTGAAGTTCCAGCAGTGCTGCAAGCTGCTGGACTGCTGCTGCTGGTGGTGGTGCTGCTGCTGGCGACTTGTTTGCATTCACGGAGGATGGTTCCTATCTGCTCGTCCGAGCTGGCCAGTCCTCCACCATGCCCGCGCCTGCCAGCGTGGACGCCATGCGGGCCACTCAGTGGGTGCCACGTGGCACTGACTCCACAACCCGTGACTCTAACGAGGGTGATTCAAACGAGGGGATCGGCTGCATGGCAGCAGGGCCGTTTCAGGTGGAGCATTGCTTGGCGATGGAAGGGGTGGAAGCTGCGAGTGGGAAGGGAAGAGTGAGAGTGCGTGTTGTGCAGCAATTCACACCAGTGAATGCAGCAGCAGGAGGAAGAGGAGGGGGAAGAGAAGGAGGAAAGGGAGGAGGAAACGAAGGGAGAGGAGCAGGAGCTGTAGCGGTGCCTCGGCTTGCCAGCCTGGCAGTGCACAGGGAGAAGTGGGTGGAGCCGTTTTCAGGCGGCGCTGAGCTGGCGGATGGAGCAGCACTGTTCAGTTCGGAGATGGTTGAGGAGGGGGAGGGGAGTGAGGCAGTGAGGGAAGGCAGGGTGAAGGAGATTGAGGGGCGGTGGGAGGTGACGGCGAGAGAAGCTCAAGTGCCCACAGCTGTAAGGTTCAACTCAAACGCCACGATCTCTTGTTGCTAGTGATGGTAACTCTGACGTCATTCAGTCATTGATGCACTCACTCAATTATTTGATTGATTCACTCCCCTCAGGCTCTCCTCAGCCGTCATCATTTGTATGCGAGCTTAACACAGTCTTGCTCTTTTTCGTTTCCACTTCCCTACTTCCCCTTTTCTTGCCTCTGTCGCTTCCTCATACACCGTTTCTCAATCCTCACAACCCTCTTAAACCCCCCACCCTCGTGCCAGCAGCCATCCATCTCGTCATCACTTGTTGCTCTGGAGTTGACAGAGCCAATCCAAACGGAGTGTCAAGGCAGATGGAGACCTCTGCTTTGGAGGATGGGACGCTCATGCTGCTCCCAGAGGTAGGGAAGCTATTAGAATTCAGGATTATGGGAAGGGTATGACTCTTGCGATGAGATGTTGTCCCCGCTTTGCTGGATTGCTCCTTACTTTTCATCCTCGCTCCCTCCTTCCTCCCACCCCCTCTCTTTCTATTTCTGTATCCCTTCCCCTTTGCCCAATCTCCCTATTTTGTCCGATCCTCCTTCCCGCAGTTTCCTCGGACCCCATCTATTCTACCACTCAAATCTTTCCTCGTTCTCTCGTTTCATTTTCCTCCTCCCCTTTCTGCCCCTGCTGCCACTGTGGCCTTTCAGAGAGTCTGGAGTCATGTGCATAAGGTGGATGAATTGTCGGGAGAAAGATTGTTTTGTGTGGAGGTTGGGTGGCTGTTTTCTTCCAACCAGGCGGTTGTGTCACGGGCTCACTTCGACCAATCAGGGAATGCAAAGGTGCGTTGATGATTTAAGCAGCACTTTGTACAGACCAGGGGTAAGTGGAGTGCTTGATCTGTACACGTTTTGTTTTACCTCAAATATCACTCCCCACCAAACTGCCACTCCCATTTCTCAACCGGATATGTTGTCTTGTTTTGTTTTTTTTATCCCTTGCGCATATTTTATCCAGATCGATGGAGAGGAGAATCGTCAACTGAATCCGTTAAAGAACGAAGCTATTTTTCGAATAGTTTATATTTTTGTTTTGCACTGTTGATGTTTAGGAATTGCACACCGTGTACTCGTTCGTTCTAGTCGAAGCGTCGTTAATTCCTCTCGGAGTGGTTCTCCAGGCCCTAGAACCCAAGCGAACATCCATAAAACTCCAATACCGTATCGCCCCGGATATAACCGCAGGCCTATTAAAAGCGCATGCGCTTATATCTGGAGCAATGCGCTTATGGCCGATCCTCAATTAGAAGCGCACCCCCTGTAAAAACTTTACTTATTATAAGCGCATGCATAATTGTATTCTAATTTCCGTAACGATTTTCCGCTTTGCAGCGAGTCTACCCTACAACCCTCACGAGAAGCGGCCGACAAAATCGCCCGTTCTGTTCTGCCTCGCGAAAAACCGAAACGGGCGCGAAGCTGAAGCTGACTGACAGCACGAACGTGGGGGGGGGGGGGGGGCTCGACCGTGCTCCTGCCCTGCGAGCGACCGGATTCTGTGCCTCGCAACAGTGGGCCGGTGACACATTCCCCTACGGAATGACGTGTCCTCGCCCACCCTTGCGCTGGCAGACAATCGCGCGATTCTGATCTATGACGCGCTAACATTTCGATTCGACTGGAATTGCAAGACTAAGATGCACATTTTGGTGCGCTTAAAATATATTTCTACATTTGTCATTATATAAGCGCATGCGCTTATGCCCGTGACTCATTTATAAGCGCACCCCCCTATAAATCAATGTTTTATTATAAGCGCAGGTGCGCTTCAATCCGGGGTGATACGGTAGCACTTCATCGCAATACCACAGCTAGTTGACGACGATCATCCTCTCCTTCTAGGCTTGATTGGCTCCCGTTTCTTCTTTGTCAAATCGCAAGATGGAGGTCTGTCCTGCTAGGGTAGACGGAATGGCAGCAATTCACGCTCTGGTCATCGAAGCCATTAGGTGCTGTCAATCTGCATCTATGGATGAAGCAGATTCCAGATGCATCACTATCTCGCTAGCCAAAGTTGCTGGTGTCAATTCAGATCATGTCGAAATCTCAAAAGGAACATTTGCGATAAATCACACTGGAGAGCCTGGCAGACAAAAATCCCGCAACCTTCATCAATCGTCTAGTTTCGTCTACTTCCTTCCTGCAGACGGCTGGGGCACTTGGATTCCTACATATTGCATGGGGTGAGAGCTCTACAAGACTCTGTTGGCCATTCGGAACCTTCCAAAGCTGTAGCCAATCTGTTGCCTGGGAGAAATCTAAAACATCAAGTTTCCCGATTTTCCCTTAGGTGACGCCGTTGCTTTGATGACCACAGGTAAGTGTGTTGTGGGCATTTTCTGGTTTGAATTAATGGAAACATTCATGTGGGTAATTGCCACAGGAATTCATGACACCGACGTCAAGAGGTATGTTGTAGACATTCCAGCTGAAAGACAACCGACATGGTCTCAGCTCCCCTCGATTGGGAAGCCAAAGGGAGCCTACTTTTCTGGCTTTGAGGTTTCTTTCGATTTTCATGGAGTCGTAGAGGATGCTGCGTTGAGACTCTACGAGCTCGTCGGGATGGTACGTACACATTGTTATGCCACAAGTCGCGAACGCAATGATTTATACTGAAATTACACCTTGTTTGTGTTCAGGTTACCGTACTTCAATCACAGATACTCCAAATTTGTTTGCTGGTTCTTTACTTGCGGCGTGAATTACCACCTCATCTTCCATGACACGTTTCAGACTTATAGGAGCCTTACCTTGGGAAATTTTTGCGACGAGTTTCTGACGTTGATCCATGACTTACCATCCGCACCAAAAGAGGCCGCCCTTGGAGTGATACAGTTATCATATGCTCAAGATGACGAAGCCTTTGAGCTCAGCTGATTAGAAAGGTTCAAGGCAGGCGTGATCCAGTCCTTGTTATTAGAACGTGAACACAGGCCAGAAATGAAGCAATAGCAGCCAAAGGCTGCTCCAAGCGTCACATCAGGAAGCACGACTCACCGGTCAGGGAATCTGGACTGCATTGTTTCGTACGAAGAAGGGTCAGAGGACGACATCACTGTGAGTGAAAACGAGATTACGGACCATGATCCTGTTTCTCCCTTTTTTTGAAGCATTAATAAGTGCTTTTTCACTTCCAGGTGAAGGTGTTCAAAGACTGGTCGCCCCTTCTTGATGGATCCAGTCTCATAATGGCCTTATCTGAAAGCAAGCTCTGGAGCGGTTTCGGAATCAGCATTGCGGATGCTTCAATTCACAGTTTTTACGGTATTCTCCACACCGAGAAGAGTTATATGGAGAAGCACCTCAATATATGTCTCCATCTGCACAGCCAACATATCTCATCGTATGTGTCTTGCTCCCATTCACCCATGCCTCTTGCTTTCTCACCTTTCCACGCGCATATCTCTTGCATAGCCAGCATATCTCATATGCCCTGCCAACATATCTCATCCACGCGCTCAATTTCCCCACATATTGTGTTTGCTCGTTTTGGTTGACGTGCACTGCATTCTACGGTATGCTGTACCCAACCCCCTCTTGAGGACTTCCCCTAAAGCAGCGCAAAATCTGAGACTGTTCCGCGGAAGATCCTTTTGAAGCTTGTCAAGAATGCAGTTATCGCATCCTTGCAACAGCTCAAGACTCAGCTTCCTGGAGAGTTTTCATCCGTACATCAAGCGAAAGTAAACAAGCAATGCCATGCACACTATCTTGTGGTCGAGTGGAGCAGTGGATGATGAGTTTGTCTTTCAGGTTGGCAATTGCTTGCCAGATCTGGCAACCAGCCTTGCAGCCATAGTGGCGGATTCCAGCAATCCACATTTTCAAGAAGAGTGCTCCAAGATATTGGGTGTTGAGGACATCAAAGATGTAGAAGCTGCCATCTTGGAAAGGCTGAGTAAGATTTCACTGACATCTCAAGATAGGGGGAAATAACTGCCTTGCAAGCGTCAACTGAAGATTGTAGACGAGATGGATGTGGATTGGACGCTTGATTGATTAATGAAAGCCATTCATGCACCACATTGCATTTGGGGAAGAAAATTTAGCAGCATTTGGATGTCAAGCTCTTGGAACGTCTTAGTGGTACACGAAAATGTACGGTTGAACAGGGAGAACGGTAACGAGGATTACTTTTCAAGGCCACGAAGGCATATTTGGCTGACGCGGTAACCCGGAATCACACGTCGTTCAGCCCAATAAAGCGCTCTTGAGGGACCGGCCCAGCCCATGCTATCAGCAGATCACCTTCCTTCCCTCACTCCGGCGTCGATCTCATTGGCAGCATGTCACAGTCTGCCTTTGGATCTGCGAATGTGGATCCATGTCACCTGTCATGAAATCAAGCTGGCAGTTTTCAGATGGGCATTTGCGGCGCGCAAGCTCGGGCAATCAGCGGAGGGGTCTGCCAGAGAGGCAAGAAGTGTGGCGCAGTGTGGGGGAATTGAGCGCGTGGATGCGGCGGAGCTTCGCATGACAGGGCGGAACGGTGTTGAGAAACCGAGGCGGGCTCGGGCAGTCAGAGCCAAGACTTAGCTGATTGCTGCCATTCAGTGTTCATTCATTGCGGTTTCGCCCAGAGTTTCGAAAACTAGCCGGTAACCACTTTAATGGCAACACAGTTTACCCGTGGCGAAGATCGCTGCTATCGCAAAATTGCTGCGCTTTCTCGCAGTGTGAAACCCAGGTTGCACGCGAACACAAGACGGGCAGCATGTGAGCTTCCATGGAGCTTCCCCCCCTCCACCCACACCACACCAATTTCTGTCCCCCGAGAGCCATTTTGTTAGTGACTGTGAAAGATCGGTGAAAGATCGGTGTGCACAATGTACAATGACTTCGCCATTTCGTAAAATCTATGTATCCCGTTTTCGTTTAGACTGTCGCGAAGATCGTGCACACGCATATTGTCGAGATCGGATGGCTCAAACTGCCACATCGATCGTGCGATTGGCAGCGCGGGAATTGAAATCGCGCCACCAGTGGCAGCCACGATCGATCGCCGTCGCATACTGCCGGCTACTTTCGATGTGGTAACAGGGCGACATCACAATTTGTCGGTGGGCGACGCGGAATCCAGCCTGAAATCGAACCCATCAGAAACCAACATGCGAAAATGCACGACACGCCAGCGAAGCACGGCTCCTGCGCTACCACGCGTGTATCGCTGTTGGCATGGAGGTCCCCAACTTGCAAATCCGGTCGTGTCCCAATTGGCTCGGTGAAGCAGCCAACACTGCTCATGCAGATTGATATCCGTTTTTCGTACGCGATGCATACAATTTCGGTGTTTGGAGCCGATCCTCCCCCGGTGTTTGCAGCATACCGTAGCTCAGTTCCTCATCCGTTCGTAATTCCAGCTTCAGTATGTGTTCGTCTCTCCGCGCGTCTGGTCAGAATCAGCTTTTGTGCGAGCAACAATTTTGAGAGGCCTTTTTCTCCTCGACGTCTTACAAAAGCTCCCTCTGAACTCCAAGCTCTCGTTTTCAGATTTCGCAGTCCAAAGCTTTTGCAATCGAATTTGAATTCCACAATTTGGCTCCACAGGACCTCATTCACTAATCACCATGAACTGCCAGACGTCTCCGTCGTCTATTTTCTCCCCGTCATCTCTTTCCTCCGCAGTTATCGCTCCCTCCTCCTCTCTCGTCTGTTCATCACTACCCCGTTCCTCTCCCCTTCCGCGTCAGCTCAATTCTCACCTCAATTCGTCCACGACCCGCTCCCATGCCGCTTCTTCCGTGTTTCGCGGCGCGTTTGACGGCCTGCACCGTCAGAGGCTCCTCGGAAATTCCTCCTCGTTCTATCTTTCTCACTCGGCCGCCTTCCATGAAGCTTCCGACCGTCAAATTCAGACTCCATCGCTCTCTGTGAGCCCCACTGGCGAGGCCGCTTCTTGCGGCCGGCACGCGGTCGTGATAGCGGTATTCGAGCGTTTTACGGAGCGGGCGATTAAAGCCGTGATGATGGCTCAGGCGGAAGCTAAGGTGCTCGGGCGGAAAAAGGTCGCGACGGAGCAGCTTCTACTCGGCCTAATTGCGGAGAATTTCGCGAGTGATGGGAAACCTGGCGGTTATCTCGGCTTGGGGATGACTATCCGCAACCCGCGAGGTGCCGTCGGCGAGTTGATTTGAGACGGCCGACTACCAGCCGCAGGGGGTCTGTCGGCCGGCAAACCTGCGTCGGAGGTGCCGTTTTCGAGCGCCAGCAAGCGGGTGTTTGAGAAGGCGATTGAATCGCGGAAGCATCGTCACAACTTCATCGCGACAGAGCATCTGGTGTTGGCACTGGTGCAAGTGGAACAGGAAGGAGCGACACTGGTGATTGCGAGGTGAGAAAAGTTGAGATGCGTTGACTTTGGAGTGAACATGTGAGTGTTAGTGGCTGATGTGTTCCAACACGCGCATCTGGCGGTCGCGCTGGTGCGTATAGAACAGGAGGGGGCGGCGCTGGTGATGGCGAGGTGAGAGGTTTGACTTTGGAGTAAAGAGGTGAGTACTAGTGAGTTATTTGTTCCAACACCGGCATCTGCGGTGTCAAGCTGGTGCTTGTAGAACAGGAGGGAGCGACGCTGGTGATGGAGAGGTGAGGGGTTTCTAAAGACGACACATGGTGAAACTTGCAAACATAACATGGTACGTATCATCATTTGCAAGTAGAAAGCAAATTTCCATGTCTTAGGGGAAGCATCGTCATAACTTCATCGCGCTAGTGCAGGTGGAACATGAGGGAGCGGCGCTGGTGATGGCGAGGTGAGAAGAGAGTTGAGAAGCACGACCGTAAGATGGTATTCGGTGCACGCGTGAGGAATAGGAGGTGATGTGCTGGTGCAGGTGGAACATGAGGATGCGGCGCTGGTGATGGCGAGGTGAGAGAAGGGCCCCTTGCACCGGGTGTCAAACTGTAGGGGGGTAAACATCAGCTACAGCAGCGGCTTGCAACGTTGCGTACAACATTGCCAGCAGCAGGCAGCGGTATTGACTCACTCGCTCATCTGAATTACTCTCTCTGTCTGTCCCTCTCCTCTGTTGACTGCGTTGACTGTGTTGCCTGCGTTGACTGACTGACAGCCTGAGAGTGCAGCCGCATCGCCTGCACGAGGCAGCGTTGGCGCGCTCAAGGGCGAGTTGGACCGGGACGGGCGCTCCTCTAACCCCCTCGCTCTCCCCTGTTGACTGCGTTGACTCTCTGTGTTGACTGCGTTGACTTTGTTGACTGGCAGCCTGGGAGTGCAGCAACACCACCTGCACGAGACAGCGCTGGCGCGGCTCAAAGGCGAGCTGGACCAGGACGGGCGCTCTCCTCTTCCTTGTTGACTGCATTGACTGCGTTGACTTTCAGCTTGGGAGTGCTGCAGCATCGCCTGCATGAAGCAGCATTGGTGCGCCTCAAGGGCGAGCTGGACCGGGATGGCCGCTCCTCGGAATTGATCACCAACCCCTCCTCGCGTCCCTCCACCAGCCCCACCAGTCCTAGTAGCAGCAAGAGTCCCAGTTCGCCAGTCCGCAAGGGGCGTGGGAAGAAAGGTGAGAAGGGAAAACCGATTTCCTGTGTTGCGCGGACTTTAAGTGCGAATTCGGCGAAATAGAAACGAGATAAAGTAACGAAGCAACAGGAACGATATCAACTAGCAGATTCATGTAACCAATTTGTATCCGATTCTAAATAGAACCATAATGAAAGCATTGCTCGTTGGAGCGGCTCAGGTGCAGAATTTTTGTGGCACCCAAAATAAAGGCGTCTAAAAAATGGTATCGCTTAAGCCCGGCCTTCTGTGATCCGTTTTCCCCTCCTCAGCTTCCATATTCCTTCCCCCACTGCTCTGCAGTAGCGGTGCAAAGTGCTATAACGCAGTTCTTCTGCACATTAGGAAGGCCACGACAGTGCAAAGTGGTGGAAAACTAGGAACATTTGTCGCTGAAAGGATGTGAAGAATGTAGGAACATTTTGTTAATGTTTTCTCTCTCTTCCTCCCAAGCTATTCGCACCCACAAATTCCCCCACACGCAGCAGCGCAGCAGATCTCACCGATCTCACTGGCAGTGATGGAAGGAGAAGAGCTTAGGAAATTCTCATTTCTTTCCTTCCATTTCCTCCCGTTCCCACATCTCTCCACTTCCCGCACCAAGCAGCAGCGCAGCAGAGCGCGTTGGAGCAGTTATGCACGGATCTAACAGCCATGGTTGCGCAAGGGGAGATCGACCCGTCCCACCCCACGCTACCCCAACCCACCCTACCGCATTCCTCCCTATCCCACCACCAACCAGCAGCGCAGCAGAGCGCGTTGGAGCAGTTCTGCACGGATCTAACGGCCATGGCGGTGCAGGGAGGGATCGACCCCGTGATTGGCCGAGAGGAGGAGGTCGCCAGGGTGGTGCATGTGCGTGTTTGTGCTGAGATGTGATTGTAACAGGGATAGTGGACGAGTGGGGGCATCTAACGGCCATGGCGGTGCAGGGAGGGATCGACCCGGTGGTTGGCCGAGAGGCGGAGGTTGTCAGTTTGGTGCAGGTGGGTGAAGTGCGTGATTGTGTGGAATTATGACTGGTTGCATGACTCTATGGAGCATCTAACGGTTATTTTGGTGCAGGGAGATATCGACCCGGTGATTGGTCGAGAGCAGGAGGTTGTGCGGGTGGTGTAGGTGCGTGCTTGTGCTGAGATATGACTGTAATGGGGATAATGGGTGTGTACACCGAACAAGCATTGCGGTGCAGGGTGAGATTGCTCCTGAGTTGGCTAGCACTTATGCATTCCCCAAAAACCTCTCTTTTCTATATGCATTGGCTCTCTCGGAAGTCTTTCGATTCCGCTATTCAGCATGCCATAAAAGGTTGCAGAATGAGTGACCAGTATCATTCACTGTTGGTGCATCGCGACTGCTATTCACACTGTGAAGTGTCGTTTGAAGAGCAGTGGTGATGCATCAGCCGTGAATGCGAATTTGAAGGACTCTCGAGAAAGCCAACGTATATGGAGGAGAAGGGCTCTCAAAGAACACGCAAGGGTGTTAGCTAACTCCTAAACACAAATCTAGTATCGTTGGTGGCCTTGGGAGTTGGCAGCATTCAGTATTCGACAGCCTAGGGCTAAATCCACTCTCGCTCTCGCACCAAGAACAACCCGCTGCTGCTGACAGAGCCAGGGGTGGGCGGAGGAGACGTCTGCGTTCCTGATTCAACACTTTGTCCCTCCCTTTCCTCCTCACCACTCCTTACTCCCCCCACTCCCACTTCTCCCCTTCCCCTCGCCCCCAGATCCCCGCTCATCGAACCAGCAACAACCAGCTGCTGCTAGGCGAACCAGGGGTGGGCAAGACGGCTTTAGGTAGCCCTCTTAATAGCCTAATTATTTTCCCTCTTTCTACTCTCTCCCACCTGTCCCCTTCTCCTCCTCCTCAGATCCTGCACATCGCACGTGAAACAACCCTCTGAACCAATCGTTTGCTACTCGTCACCCTCTCCCTCTCACCTCTCCCCTTCTCCTCCCCCTCAGATCCTTGCTCGTCGCACCGTGAACAACCCTCTGCTGCTGGGCGAGCCAGGGGGGGCAAGACGGCCATCTCCCCCTTTTCTATGCCTCTGTTCGTCCTTTCGTCCCCTCTCTCACTCTTCCATTCTCCCGCCCTCCTCTCTTGCTCCTTACCCCCTCAGATCCAAGCTCGTCGCACCAAGAACAACCCGTTGCTGCTGGGGGAGCTGGGGGTGGGCAAGACGGCCATGTATAGCCCTCTTTTCACGCAACCGCTTCCCCCTGTTTCTCACCTCCCAATTCTCGCGTTTTCTCCTTCTCCTCCCCCTCAGATCCTCGCTCGTTGCACCAAGAATAACCCTCTGCTGCTGGGCGAGCCAGGGGTGGGCAAGACGGCCATAGCGGAGGGTTTGGCGCTGCGCATCGCCGAAAACGATGTGCCACCGTTCCTGCAGGTGAGAGGTCATGTTGCTGGGGTGGAAATGGGGTAGCAGGGGCACGTTGACAGCAGACGGCCATAGCGGAGGGTTTGGCGCTGCTCATTGCCGAGAATGATGTGCCGCCGTTCCTAGGTAAGTGCCTCACAAGGGTGGCTGCAGTAGGGGTCAGTTGGGTGGTGTTGTTGCTGTTGAGTGGGTTTCTGCCAGTACAAGGCTTGGCAAATATCATGGGGGGTGGCCAGGACGGCCATTGCAGAGGGGCTGGCGCTGAGGATCGCCGAGAACGACGTGCCACCGTTCCTACAGGTGAGCGGTGTTGTGCTGCGGAGGGAATGGGTTGACAGGGGGACAGGGTGCATAGCAAAGGGGTTGGGCAAGGCAGCCGTAGGGGAGGGCTTGGCGGTCAGGATTGCCAAGAACGATGCACCGTGAAGTTAGTTCTGCAGGTGAGCGTTTTGTGAGCTGGGTTTCTTGAAGGGTCGCTTCAAGTGTGCGGTGGCAGCAATGGAGAGGTGGTGATAGGCAAGGTGTCCATTGCATCACTCCTCCACCAGAGCTTCACGGTGGCCGTAAGTGTGCTCTCCATTGTGGGATGGTTGGTTTAAACCGTCTCTCTTTCTCCCCTTCCCCCATTCCTTCCACCAGGGAAAGCGCCTTCGGTCGCTGGACATGGGGAGGGTGATGGCAGGAGCAAAGGAGAGGGGGGAACTGGAACTCAGAGTGACTATGCTGGTGGCAGAGGCGGTGGCAGCAGCGGGGGAGGTGATCCTGTTGATAGATGAGGTGCATACGATGGTGGGAGCTGGCGCCGTGGGGAGGGGACGGGACGGCGGAGGATCGGGATTGGACATCTCGAATCTGCTCAAGCCTGCCTTATCACGCGGCCAGATTCAGGTGAGAGTCATCTGCTGAGTGCTGTTGAGAGAGGTTTAGTCCAGTGGTGCTGGGTAACAGAGGTGGTGATATTCCTGGTGATAGACGAGGTGCATGCGATGGTGGGGGCTGGTGCCCGTGGGGAGGGGGCGAGATGGCGGGGGATCGGGATTGGATATTTCGAACCTGCTCAAGCCTGCTTTGTACAGGGGGCAGATTCAGGTGAGGCAGAGGGCGGTTGAGTGCGGTTTAGTGTGTTTGTGCTGGGTAATAGAGGTGGTGCTGATGATAGAAGAGGTGCACACGATGGTGGGAGCTGGAGCCGCAGGAAGGGGACGAGGCAGGTGGGGGTTCAGCTTCAGACATCTCTAATCTGCTCAAAACTGCTTTGACTAGGGGAAAGATTCAGGTATGGATGGCAAGAGTGCCGATTCCAGTAGAGTGCGATGATTATGTAAGATATACACAACACCATCTGTGCTAGATCTTCTGTTTTTATGTCACGAGGGGAACGGTGCTCACTCATCAGTGCATCGCCACCACAACCACCAATGAGTTTTGCGAGCACCTCGAGAAGGACAAGGCTCACACCATACCATAGCCTCGCATCTGTCCAGTGCCTTATGCCTTCCCATTCCTCTCTCCTCTCCTCTTCCTTCTTCCCCCCCCCCCCCCCCCCCCCTCCATATCAGTGCATCTCCACCACAACCACCAATGAGTTTTGCGAGCACCTCGAGAAGGACAAGGCTCTGGCTTCGCATCTAATGCACTCCCACTTGCCCCCACCCTCCCCTCCCGCCCGCTTACACTCTAACCCCTCGCTTACACACCTTCTCCTCCTCAACCACCAGTGCATTGCCACAACCACCACCAATGAGTTTTGCAAGCATCTGGAGAAGGACAAGGCTCTGGCTAGGCGCTTTCAGCCAGTCACTGTGGACGAGCCTTCAGAGGTGAGTGGGAGGCTGCTATAACGCAGATGTGGTATGGGTGATTCTTTATTGGGGAGAAAGTCAATGCGCTGGCCAGGCGCTTTCAACCCGTGACTCTGGACGAGCCCTCAGAGGTGAGTGGGATGCTCTTTTATCGTGTGCGGAGAGGGCCAAAGCATTGGCCATGCGGTTTCAGCCGCTGACTGTGGAAGAGCCATCAGGGGTGAGTGGGTGGCTGTGTTTTGAGTCGACTCAAAAGTTTCAGCCGCTGACCATGGAAGAGCCATCAGGGGTGAGTGGGTGGCTGTGTTTTGATTCGACTCAAAAGTTTCAGCCGCTGACCATGGAAGAGCCATCAGGGGTGAGTGGGTGGCTGTGTTTTGAGTCGACTCAAAAGTTTCAGCCGCTGACCATGGAAGAGCCATCAGGGGTGAGTGGGTGGCTGTGTTTTGAGTCGACTCAAAAGTTTCAGCCGCTGACTATGGAAGAGCCATCAGGGGTGAGTGGGTGGCTGTGTTTTTGTACCGGGGGTGGGGTGGATTCGACATGGGAAGAAGGACAAGGCTTTGGCCCGAAACTTTTGCAAGTGTGCTCTCACCAATTCCGCCCTGGAAGCTGTATGAGACGTCTCAAAACTAGCTGTATGAGACGTCTCAAAAACTCCTTTTTATCAGTGACAAAGCCGAAAACCTTATGGAAGCCGCTCCAGTTTTTATCAGTTTTTTTCTCCAGATTCCCCCCTCCCAGGAAGCAGCCATCCTCCAGAGCCTGAGGCCCGCCACAAGTGCACTCTCACCGACTCTGCCCTGGCAGCAGCCGTTTCCCCCTCCTCTCATGTCTTGTTCCTCTCTCTCCTTCCCCCCTTTCCTTTTCCCGCCTCCCAAGAAGCCGTTCTAGCCATACTTCCAAGGTCTGCGCCACCTGTACGAGGCACACCACAAGTGTGCTCTCACTTCATGGCAGCTGTGGCCCTCTCCCCTCTCCCCTCTCCCCTCTCCCCTCTCCTCGCGTCTCATCCCCAATCGCTGCCTGCCCGAGGGGACATTGACCTGATAGACGAGGCGGCGAGCAGGAGCAGGGTGGAGGGCAGCCGGGGGAGGGGAGCAGGCGACTCACAGCACCACCCCTTGTCCCTTATTCTCCTCCGCTCCCTCCCTAAACCCTGAAATCCTCTCAGGAGGCGGCTCTGGCGATTCTGCACGGCCTGAGGCACCTATACGAGGCACACCACAAGTGCACTCTCACGGACGATACTCTGGCAGCAGCAGTCACCCTCTATGCTTGTTTCATCCCCGATCGCTGCCTGCCCGACAGGGCAATTGACCTGATAGACAAGGCGGCTAGTAGGAGCAGGGTGGAGGGCAGCAAGGGGAGGAGGCGGCGGGCGAGTGGGGTGCTGGAGAGGGGTGCAGAGGAGTACTGGCGGGAGATTCGCATGGCGCAGGCTGCACACGAAGCGGTGAGAATGGGTGCAATGCGGTGAGGGTGGTTCTACTGCGGTGCGGTGGAAATGGGTTCAATGCGTTTAGATCGGGTTGTTCTTGGAGGTAAGTGCCTCAAAGCGAGAAGCCTGTAGGAGCAAGGTGGAGGGTAGCAAGGGGAGGAGGAGGAGGGTGAGTGGGGTGCTGGAGAGGGGTGCAGAGGAGTACTGGCGGGAGATCAGGATGGCGCAGGCTGCACATGAAGCGGTGAGAATGGGTGCAGTGCGGTGAAGGTGGTTCCAATGCGGTGAGGATTGGTTTGATACAGTTTTGTGTGTGGTGAGACAAGGTTCTCGAGGGGTTAAATACTGAGGTTGTAGTGTGGCAGTAGAGCAGCGGCAGGGGAGGCGGCCTGCCGCAAAGCTCTCACCTCATTCACCTCTTTCCTCTCCCTCTGCTGTGTTCCCTCACTCCTCATCTGTTACTCCTCATCTGTTCCCTTGCTCCCCTTTTCCCTTGCTCTTTTGCTCCTTCGTTCACTTGCTCCCGTATTCCACGTGTTCTGTTTCCTCTCATCTCCAGGCCTGTGCCTGCTGGAATCCCTCAGACTTCTCTCTTCTTTTCTCTGATTGTGTCTCCCTTTGCAGGCACATGTGCACCAGAATCCCTTCACCTCGCTCACCTCCTTCCTCTCTCTAGACTCACACTCACCCCAATACCACCACCGCTGCTGACGCCGCTGGTGCTTCTCACCCCCCCCTTCTTCCCCCAACCCCTGTTTCTTTCTCTCTTCCACAGGCATATGCTCGCCAGAATCCCTTCACCTCGCTCACCTCATTCCTCTCTCAAGACCACGTTCATGCCGACACCACCACCGCTGCTGATGCCGCTGCTGCTGCTGGTCGCTCCAAGAGTGGCATCACTGGCAGTGACAAGGAGGACGGGTGAGATTCACCACTCACACACACGCCAATATCACCGTATGAATCACACACTTAACACTCCCATTAATACCACCACCACCGCTGCTGCTGCTGGTCGCTCCAAGAGTGGCATCACTGGCAGTGACAAGGACGACAGGTGAGTGAAACCTACCTCTTACCGTCACGCATAATCATACTCATAATGACACCACCATCTGAGTCTCACAAACAATCACACCCACGCTGACACCACCACGGCTGCTGACGCCGCCGCTGCTGCTGGTCGGTCCAAGAGTGGCATCACTGGCAGCGACAAGGAGGATAGGTGAGATTTAGCGTCGTCTGACTCTCACAAACAACCACACCCGCATTAACACCACTACAGGTGCTGACGCCGCCGCTGCTGCTGGTCGTTCCAAGAGTGGAATTACCGGTAGTGACAAGGACGACAGGTGAGATTCGCCACTCCTCGATCGTCTTACTCTCACACACGCACGCACACCCACACTGACAGCCTCGTGTCACTCTCACTCACTCAACACTCCCATCGACACCACCACCGCTGCTGACGCCGCCGCTGCTGGGGCGTTCCAAGAGTGGCATCACTGGCAGTGACAAGGACGACAGGTGAGGTCTGCCACTCTCCCATTGTCGGACTCACACACTTCAACTCTCATATCAACAGCACCACGGCTGCTGACGCCGCTACCGCTGCTGGTCAGTCCAGGAGTGGCATCACTGGCAGTGACAAGGACGACAGGTGAGATTCGCCACTCCTCGATCGTCTTAGTCTCACACACACTCGCACCAACGTCAACACCATTGTCTGTCACCGTCCTCTGGCACATTGATCCTCTCCAGCCACCTTTTTCTTTTTTTTGGCTGATTTTGAAATTTCTCAGAAATTGTACCTCAAAAATTCATTTGGCACATTAATCCTCTCCAGCCGCCCATCCTTTTCCCTCAATCCTCTTCTTTCGTCCTCTACCCCTTCCACCAGCCCCACGGAGATCACAGCAGAGCACATAGCAGCAGTGGCCGCCCACTGGACCGGTATCCCCCTGCAGCAGCTCTCCCTCTCGGACCAGCAGCACCTGGCAGGGCTGGAAGAGGCACTAGAGACGCGCGTGGTGGGGCAGGGGGCAGCTGTGCGGGTGATAGCACGGGCGGTGCAGCGAGCGAGGGTGGGGTTGAAGGGGGAGGGAAGGCCGGTGGCGGCTCTGCTGTTCTCGGGACCTACCGGGGTGGGGAAAACGGAGTTGTGCAAGGCACTGGCAGCTCACTACTATGGATCGGTGAGTTTGATTCACTGGTAATCTTGGAGTCAAGCTGATTGGATGCCATGCTGTCAGCAAGCTGATTGGATGCCATGCTGTCAGCAAGCTGATTGGATATATGCATCATTCCCATCGAATGCATCGGGTGGGTGGATCGCAGCTTCCCCCCTCATTCCCCTCCATCCTGCATTGCCCTCGTTCATCCTCTGCCTTCCAGGAAGATTCCATGATTCGTCTAGACATGAGTGAGTACATGGAGCGCCACGCTGTCAGCAAGCTGATTGGAGCGCCGCCCGGCTACGTGGGGTACGGCGAGGGCGGCAAGCTCACGGAGGCCGTCCGCAGGCGGCCGTTTTGTCTTATTCTCCTGGACGAGATCGAGAAGGCACACCCGGACGTCTTTAATCTCCTGCTGCAGATTTTCGAAGACGGGCGGCTTACTGACTCGCAGGTGGGTGTTGTTTGTCTGTTGTGAGGTGGGGGTAGCTTGAAATGTTGATGTATTTTATCTACTGTGTCCGGCTGGTGCTTTTGATACCCTCAAAACTGCTGATACCCAAGCCTCTATACCACTGCATCGGTTTTGTCTGATGCTCCCACCCTCTGATCCTCTGGTTTCCTCTGATGCTCCCAAGTCTCTATTCATCACCCACCCACCCACCCACCCCGCCCTTTACCTCTTCACCCTCCTCTCCTTTCTTCCTTTCTGACCAATCCAGGGCCGCCACGTGTCGTTCAAAAACGCCCTGATAGTCCTGACGTCCAATGTGGGCTCTCAGGCCATTGCAAGGGGGGGCACCCACCGAATCGGCTTCCTCACTCCAGGAGAATATGCATCTGCTGATGGGAATAGGGGGAGAGATGGGGGCAGAGAGGGACGGGCGGATGCGGGGCGGTATGCGGCGATGAAGGAGGTGGTGATGGAGGAGTTGAAGGCGCATTTTCGACCGGAGCTCATGAATCGGATTGATGAGGTGGTGGTGTTCCGAGCACTGGAGAGGGAACAGGTGAGCAAGTGTGTGTGCGTGTGCGTTTGCGTGTTCGTGATCGTCTCGGAAGGTGGATGCAGGGCAGTATGCGGCAATGAGGGAGGTGGTGATGGAGGAGTTGAAGGTGCACTTCCGGCCTGAGCTGATGAATCGCATTGACGTGGTGGTGGTGTTCCGAGCATTGGAGAGGGGAACAGGTGAGACTGGCGCGAGAACAGGTGGGTAAGAGAGGTGGGAGCAGGTGCACGTGTGTATGTCTCAGCACAAGTGGGGCGGTATGCAGCGATGAGGGATGTGGTGGTGGAGGAGTTGAAGATGCACTTCCGGCCAGCGCTCATGAATTGGATTGATGAGGTGGTGGTGTTCCGAGCATTGGAGAGGGGAACAGGTGAGCAAGAAATCAGGTAAGGGGGGGTGAGCAGGTGAGGTGAGACAGGGAGGTGGTGATGGAGGAGTTGAAGGCGCACTTCCGTCCAGAGCTGATGAACCGGATCGATGAGGTGGTGGTGTTCTGAGCATTGGGGAAAGTGCAGGTGAGCGTTTGGGGGGGGGGGGGGTTGGGGAAAGGTGTGTGCGTGTGTACGTCTGAGAAGGCAGTATGCAGCGATGAGGGAGATGGTGGTGGAGGAGTTGAAGGGGCATTTCCGGCCAGAGCTGATAAACCGGATTGATGAGGTGGTGGTGTTCCGAACTCTTGAGAAGGAACAGGTGAGCATGCAAGAAGGTGAGAGAAAGTGTGTCTGTGTGTGTACGGCTCAAAAAGGTGGATGCGGGGCGGTAAGCGGCAATGAGGGAGGTGGTGATGGAGGAGTTGAAGGCGCACTTCCCGGTCGGAGCTGATGAATCGGATTGATGAGGTGTTGGTGCTCCGAGCATTGGAGAGAGAACAGGTGAGAACAGGGAAAGGGCATGTGATGCAGTTGAGTGGGGAGAGGAGTTGAAGGGGCGTTTCCGGCCAGATCTGATGAACCGGATTGACGCGGTGGTGGTCCGAGCATTGGCGAAAGAACAGCTGAGCAAGGGAGAAGTGTGTGGGTGTAAAGGGGAATGCAAGGTTGATGAACCGGATCGACGAGGTGGTGGTGTTCAGAATTCGGGAGAGGGAACAGGTGAGAGAGGGATTGGGGTGGGCATGCGGGAGAGGGAACAGGTGTGCTTGCATGTGGGAGAGCAGATGAGACAGGGAGGTGGTGATGGGGGAGTTGAAGACGCATTTTTGGCCTGAGCTGATGAACAGGATCGACAAGGTGGTGGTATTTCGAGCCCTTGCAATGGAACAGGTGAGCATGGTGTGAGAGGGAACAGGTGAGTGTGAGGGAGAGAGAGAACAGAGGAGTGTGTGCAAATGAGGGAGGTGGTGGTGGAAGAGTCGAAGACGCACTTTTGGCCAGAGCTGATGATCCGAATCGACGAGGTGGTGGTGTTCCGAGCTCTAGAGAGGGTGGTAAGAGCAGTAAGGAATGTGAACCAGGTATCTCCATGGCTGAAGCGTGCTTCACAACAAATGCGTTATTCACGCATGCACACCCTTGTTGTGCATAACGCTTCAGTCTTGGAGAATCATGGTTTCACATTCCTTACTGCTCTTACCACCCTCTATGCCACCTTCCCCATAAGCCATCCGCACCTGTCCAGCCTCCTCCACCTCCCACGTCTCGCCCATCTTCCCACCCTCACCCTCACCATAACCATCTCCCCCACCTTCCCTCCAGATCCGAGTGATTGCCAGCACGATGGTGAAAGAGACGGCTGACCGATAGACCAAGAGGTGATTCAACCTGGAAGTGTCAGAGCACTCGTGCAGCAAACCCCTCTACCCTGTTTACATTTGCTTCCTTGTCCCTCCACTTGTCCCCCTTCCCTCCAGATCCGAGTGATTGCTAACATGATGGTCAAGGAGTCGGCTGATAGACTTGCACAGAAGGGAATCAACCTGGAAATTTCTGAAGTACTCATGGAGCGGATTTGTGAGGAGGGGTACGACAGGGCGTATGGGGCGCGTCCACTGCGATGTGCCGTCACGCGATTGGTCGACGATCCAATCAGCGAGGCTGTGCTGGCAGCGGGGGAAAGCAGCAGCAACACCAGGCACCGCCACCGCCGCGTCAGCAGCAGTGACCTGTCGGAATCTCTACCATCCGTTCCTTCGCTGCTGCTCCCTGCGATCGCAGCTGACGCCAAAGAAGATGACACCAGCGCACCCCTGGGTGACGTCAGCGGGGTCAGGGAGGGCGCGTTCACAGCTGGCGACACAGCACTGGTGGATGTCGGGGAGGATGGGGAGCCGGTGGTGATCCGCCTGCCTCGCCCTGACGTGTGTGAGATGGGTCTGTGCCTTCCGTTTCTCAAGCTCCCTGCTGCCGCTGCTCCCACTCTCTCCCTCCCTGACTAAGGGGCACGTAACAATGGCGACGCAGTCATGCTTTCGTGCGGTAACCAGATTGACTGTGCGATGGGGATGTGCCTTCCCTTCCTGTAGCTGCCTGCCGCTGCTGCTCCTTCTCTTTCCCTCCCTGAGTATCTCTCTCTGCCTTCCTGACTAAGGGGCATGTTTTCTGTGTATAATAACCAGGGTGACTGTATAGGTGGTCAATGCTCGGGTTGGTGGTTATGCACTGCCAAGGGACCCAACAGCAGGTGGTGGCTACAGCAGATGGGGTGAGGAGGGGAATAGGGCAACTGTAGATTTGTATATACCCGGTTGATGTGTGTGGGATGGGAAAACTACTTTCATTTGGTGATTGGTCTGTGTAAGGCATTGAATTGAAGGATGGTGGCACATTATGAGCATGATATCACGTTGAAATGAACTGAAGGTGGTGGGTGGTTTCAGAAGGAGTCTGTTTATGCAATTTTCATTGTGTTTAGGGTGTCTGAGTGTTGAATCAATTCGTAAGAAAGTAGTGGAGATTTAGCTTCTATTAGACTACTAGCTTGTTTTGTACAGTTGTTATGAGTGCAACTGAGTTGAGCTATAGAGGGAAAAGAATAAAATCAGCGAATGCATGAGCAATTCGTTACCGTAAATAGAAAAAAAAAAAATCGATAACGGTAACGCGCTTGCGAAAGGATGCCCTAGGTTGGGGGAATGTACAATAACCTAGAGTTTAGGGAAAATCACACTTCGGGTGTGCCAACCAACGTTTTAATTGGCGCTGATACCACCGTGGATTGTAAGAGGCTACCGTATCGCCCCGGATATAACCGCAGGCCTATTAAAAGCGCATGCGCTTATATCTGGAGCAATGCGCTTATGGCCGATCCTCAATTAGAAGCGCACCCCCTGTAAAAACTTTACTTATTATAAGCGCATGCATAATTGTATTCTAATTTCCGTAACGATTTTCCGCTTTGCAGCGAGTCTACCCTACAACCCTCACGAGAAGCGGCCGACAAAATCGCACGTTCTGTTCTGCCTCGCGAAAAACCGAAACGGGCGCGAAGCTGAAGCTGACTGACAGCACGAACGTGGGGGGGGGGGGGGGCTCGACCGTGCTCCTGCGCTGCGAGCGACCGGATTCTGTGCCTCGCAACAGTGGGCCGGTGACACATTCCCCTACGGAATGACGTGTCCTCGCCCACCCTTGCGCTGGCAGACAATCGCGCGATTCTGATCTATGACGCGCTAACATTTCGATTCGACTGGAATTGCAAGACTAAGATGCACATTTTGGTGCGCTTAAAATATATTTCTACATTTGTCATTATATAAGCGCATGCGCTTATGCCCGTGACTCATTTATAAGCGCACCCCTCTATAAATCAATGTTTTATTATAAGCGCAGGTGCGCTTCAATCCGGGGTAATACGGTAATATATATATATATTTTAAGTGAAACTGCCAAAGAGAACCCAAATGCAACACACATAAAAACCCCCCTCGAGATACCCAATCAAAACGCCCAATCGAGACACCCCATCAAGACATCCCATCCCACACCCCATTTCACCCCCCCCAATCACAACAGCGTATCCACCATGTACGGGGCCTCCACCCAGAGAGCCCCGCCTTCCACATCAACATCGTCCCTCTCCCGGTCCACCAAATCTACGTTAATCCCCCCCATGGAAGACGCCGCTCGAAGCAGGATGACATGGGCTTGCGCACGTTGTAACGCCACCCCGATGAGCGCCTTCAGTGACCCTAAAAGATAAGCCGAAAACACAGTGTCGTCCTCCCGACAAGCCCCCCGCGACACAGCTAGCCCCACGTGCGCATCCCCCTGCTGACGAAGCCACCGCCGAAAACGACCGCCGAGACACCCCCACGTCTCTACTATCAGAGGGGTGAACTGCACGCCCCGGTTGCGTGCAAGCAGAGGCGCGTAATCACTCGTTTTGCGAAGCTCCCACTCTCTTGCCGCCACACCTATGGATCGCCCGCACTGTCCTAGCAGAGATGGAGACAGCGATAGCAGATCCGCGACGCTGATCTCTAGGGCGTGAGCCTCTCAAGCCATTGGTCGTCGCACCGCCACATCAACCCGCTTCCCCTGCAGCACCACACTATCCTCCATTGTCACCACCCCCCCCGACGTCTTAGAGATCTTCGCCACCGCAAACTTCACCTCATCATGCACCCGAGATGGACCATGCTGGTGCTTGCATCTCAGGGCATGATGCGGGTCTGCCGGGTCAACATACGCTGTGCCACAAACATACCTCCCCGCCACCTGCAGCTGCTGAATTGGGAGCCCGAGCCGTATAGCAGCAGCAATGCCCCACTCAGCCGCACTGAATGTGAGATCTGAGTGAGCCGGAACCGCCGAAACCCATGCACCCGCCCCCGGGCCCTGAAGGGATGTGAAACGGGCCAAGGTAGCATCGTCACGAGCCAAGCGGCGCAGTGCCTGGAGCTCCTCTACAGCTAACTGCCGCTGCCGCGCCTGGAAAAGCCGAACGGGAGGGGCCGCTACATACAGAGGTAAGCCCGGTATCTCCTGGCGGATAGTCGCTGGCAGCTGCTCAAGAGCCTTGACAAACCACGGGTCGAGAAACTCTGCCCCTGTCGAAGTGGTGAGGTACTCTGCAAACATCGCCTCCTCGCCCGCCACCCCTAACTGTGCAATGTCACGCGCGGCCTACGCCCACCCACAAACATAGGACAGTGGGCTCAAAGAGGCCGCCGCCCGGATCCCGAACCCTCCGAGTCGCACAGGGAGATGCAGCTGCATGCGTGCGCGCCTAGACCGGTCGGGGTCCTGCTCCCAAGTGCCAGGTGGGAAAAGCTGCTCAAAAGCAATCCTCCAAACAGCTGTCCCAATCCCTAAAAGCCTCAACCACCTCCGGACGCGGCGGCATAGTCCGGGCGAGGTACATCGGCCGTGCTGAAACTGCAATGGCGAGGAGGTGTGAAACCATCTGGGGGTGGTCGAGCAAGGGGAGCCATGGCAGTGGCGCCTACAACTGTCGAAGCTGCTCCCGTAGCCGGACCACCTCCCGATCCTCCTCCCCAATAGGCACGCCCACCACAGTAAGACCCTCCTCCACCCGCTGCATCCCTAATGGCAGTGCCTGCTCCACATCCCTGCCCTCGCGCTCCCAAAACCGGCACTTGTGCGCCTGCACCTCCAACCCCACCCACTCCAACCGCTCCCGCAGCACCCCAAAAGCCTCCAGAATCCTAGCCGCTGGCCCCAAAATATAGGTATCGTCTGCATAGCTGAGGAAAAGCAGGTCCCCGAAACCCTAAATTTATACGCATATGTTCTACTTGTATGTAATAAACTTGCTAAAGGACGCGTGAGTTTGTGAAGGACCTGCGCACATGCACCATGGACTCGATTTTGATGAGGCCATATGTCAAATGTTAATCTTGTGATAGGCTGTAGTGAGGTACTCTCTAGTGAGTACAACTTTGGTAGGTTTCCTATTTGTATCCTTCCCAACCCTAATTCAGTCATTCCGTTGCATTCGAACTTTGAGATGGTATCACGAGTAGGTTAGTTCCTTGTTACTTCCTAGCCCGCGCCCTCTCTAGCGCACCCCCGCGCCCTCCGCGCCCTCCGTGCCCTCTGCGCCCTCCGCGCCCTCCACGCCCTCCGCGCCCTCCGCGCCTTAGCCTCCGCGCCCTCCGCGCCCTAGCGCCCTCCTCCTCCGCGCGTCAGTGCTCTCCGCGCCCCTAGCACGTCGCCCAGGCCCGCGCCCTAGCCCGTCGCCCAGGCCCGCGCCCTAGCCCGTCGCCCAGGCCTGCGCCCTAGCCCGTCGCCTAGGCCCGCGCCCTAGCCCGTCGCCCAGGCCTGCGCCCTAGCCCGTCGCCCAGGCCCGCGCCCTAGCCCGTTGCCCAGGCCCGCGCCCTAGCCCGTCGCGGCCTCCACATCCCCTCGTTCACTCGGAACTTGGTGGGTGCTGGTTACCTCCAGGACAGGGGGATCACGGTTACCTTTGTGGGGGGTGGGAGGACTGCGGTCTATACAGACGCTGCCACAGGTGCTGTTCTGGCCACGTTCACCACGGAGCCCCGCTCCGATCTCTACGTTCTCCACACCGAGCGCTCCCCGGTTGCGTCCTCCGCTCAGGTCGTTGCGTCCCCTCCAGTCCAGGTGTCCAGTCCGGTTGCTGTGTCTCGCCAGGTGGTCGTGTCTAGTCCAGTTGCAGTGTCTAGTCAGGTCGCGTTGTCTAGTCTAGTCGCTGCGTCCTGCTCCTGTCGGTCCCTCACCCACCAGACCGTCTTGTGTCACCACCGCCTTGGCCACCCGTCGATCCCCCGCCTCCGCGGGATGACCACTCACGGGCTTGTCACCGGCCTCCCACGCACCTTTCCGTCGCTCCCCACCTCCCCTGCTCCCCCTTGCACTCCTTGCGTCGCCGGTCGCTTACGCGCCACTCCCCACTCCTCCTCCATTCGTCCGGCCACTGCTCCCTTCGAGACTCTCCACTTGGACGTCTGGGGCCCTGCCCCGACGCAGGGATCTGGGAGGGAGCGTTACTTTCTGTTGGTCGTCGACGACTTCTCCATGTACACCACAGTGTTCCCTCTCGCGAAGAAGTCCGAGGTGACTTCTACGCTGATCCGGTGGCTTCTGGCTACTGAGGGCACTCGTGGTCGTCGTGTCAGTTGTCTACACTCCGACCGTGGGGGCGAGTTTCGCTCCGGCATTCTTGGCAGATTCTGTGGCGAACAGGGCATCGTACAGTCCTGGACGCTTGCTGAGTCCCCACAGCAGAATGGGGTTGCTGAGCGCCGCATTGGCTTGGTCATGGACATTGCTTGCACGTCCATGATCCATGCCCGTGCGCCCCATTTTCTGTGGCCCTACGCGGTTCGCTACGCCGCACACCAGCTGAACCTCCAGCCGCGCGTCTCACGGCCCGAGGCTTCACCGACCAGTCTTTGGACCGGGTCCCCTGGTGTTGGGTTGGTCTTTCGTGTCTGGGGCTGCCTTGCGCTTG